AGGTTAATTCAAGAAGCCGCGATTTCTAATATTTGTATTAGTAGGTCGTGGGACTTTATTTAGTTCCGGATAAATTGAAAACCGATATGTAAGGTCAACTGGTTAATAAATGCTCCTAATGCAGATGTACATGAAGGACAATTAAATGAATAATTATAAATTTGCATAGCTGTATAAAAAATTTGCGCATAAAAATGTAAAAATAAACATTTGTGTACAATAGTTGCTTGATGAAAACAAAGATATGTAAGGTAGGTACTTAAGTTGGAAGATTGAAAATTAATGTTACACAGGAAGTATGTCAATAAAATATTTATAGCAACTATCTACAGGGTGACTCCTTATAAATTTTCTATCCCGATATCTTGAAAATTACACTGAAAGAAATGGACTTATTAAACTGTTTATCTAGAATAATGTGTATAGCGCATATTAAAACTTTTATAACCAATATACAACTTTTATTAAAAAAAGCAATCATCTCCATACTCATTATTCAATGAGTTTAACTGGAAGGTGCTTAATACACCTTATGCATCTATGAAATAAAGGTTATAATGATTTACTTATACATTATTAGGTGTTATAGACTTTATATTCCAGTTGTATAGTAGGGAAGATTTGTTGTATAAAGACCGAATAACAATTGTATTAACAGAATTATTCGTTCTTATACTGAATATGTCTCCGTTTTTAAGGTGTAAAACGCGTCTTATAATGGTTAAGTGATCGTCACCTCTCGGTGCATAATCGGTTATGATCGTGAAATTTCCGACAGTCCGCTGTGCATCGACTTACGACTATTACACGTCTAGTTTGATGAAAATGGACAGTATATGCACATGTTTTGTGGGATACATGATCATATCGCGTTGTGTGAAATGGAAAATTATTATGTAAGTATCTAACTGTTTTATGGCTTGTAATTGTTTTGTTTTTTCAAATGTAAATCTTGTCTAAATCTTAAAAATTATTATTTTGTAGGTCCTATTAGAAATCGCTGATGTTAAGTTTTACATAAGATGGAGGAACAGAAGGTTAACGGTGACAAAGAAGAGCATGGGTATAAAGTCAATCAACCAGAGGAAATAAAATTATATGGAAAGAAGCTCAACCTTTCTGGGGATGCTTCATTCTTAAGGTGGAAGAGTTATAGTGCAAATTCTCATGTAATACAAGAAAATACGGGTGCATCGTTGCTAAGAAAATAAACTGGACAGTTTTGGGAGCGATTTGTCATCATTTTTAATGCTTAAAAGTATGTTTTATGTATGTTTACATTAGAACCTTAGCTTGTAATTACAGTTATCCAATAAAATTTCTGAAAACTTAATGACATATGTTTTTAACTCATACAGAGTATACAACAGTTTAATACATTTATTATTATAAAACTTATAACCAGTACTAGATGTTCTAATAACGATATGGAACACTTTAATAACAGTTATTGCTATTATTTCGTAAAGGGTATAAAAAACGTTGTATACTAGTTATACAATAATTTAATAAAGAAGAAGGTTGTATAGTCACTATACAACTGTGCTAGTAATACGCGTTTTATATCCAATATTCACCTGTTTAACTGTCACATATAGTATACAATGGTCTTATAATGGCATATAGAATTCTAATAAAGAATAAAACGCATTTCTTTCGGTGTAAAAGATATTTTGTAAAAACTGTTGTATAGTAAATAGGTATAGAAATTAGAGTTTCGATGATGATATTCGAAATAGTTGAACCTATTTCTTAAAATAAACTTATAATGTTTGCGTAATAGATGTGATTGATACTTTTGTCATGTCAGGTTCTACTGATTAAAATAAAAAACTGACAACTTTTATTCTTTTATAAAAACACATTTTGAGGAACCACTGTTTTGTAAATTTTTTATTTATTACAAACATAGATCTAGTTTGAAGACTTTTCACGTGGATAAAAATTTTTAATGTTGAATTTTTTTTTAATAACTATGTCATCTACACCGTTGTGAAGACGTGTATATTTCTGTGGAAATTACCTTTTGATTTTAAATGGACATGAATGGAATGGATGAAGGACAATGTGAAAGAACTTTTTTTTTGTGTATGCCTCAAAAATTCTAACAAACTGATAGTCCATCTTGATGTACCAGTGACATGCCACCCTACAAAATTAAATTCTTATATGCACATAACTTTCACAGAGGTACCATCGCCAGGTAGCCATTTTACTAGTTATTTAATTATAGTTTTCGATAAATTTCACTTTGAAGTTTCACTATTTTCAACATATCTGTGTCCTTAATATTTAAAATTGCAAAACTGATATAATGGGTGTTGCAAATACAAATTCATAGTTTTATATTTTATATCTAAAACCAATGGGTATAGAAAATGTTAATTACCTTTAATTATAGATTGAACTAATTTCCGATTAGGTAAACAATATTGATGTTGAGATAATTTATAGTTTCTATTACAAATACCATATTTTAAGTACTCTTATTTATTTCCAAAGTTTGAAAAAAAAAATCGGCAATTAGAATGATGCTTTTGTAGCTATCCAAAAGTGAATATGTTCTGTAATCTATTTTAATAAAGGTATCTTACGTGATATTTATAGAGTTTGGATACATTCAAATCGAATGACAAAATTTTTTTTTATGTAATCCCAGGACAGGCTGAAACGTGAATCATGTCTCAATATTTTTTCTATGTTTGAGGTAAAAACCTGTTGTTTTTGCTTTGCTTAGCTTGCACACCGGAATTTTTTTAGTGTATTCGTGATTTTGAAACACGAAACAGATGTCTAAAATCCTTCGTTTACAAGATATTTATAGAATGTTGAATAATATACAAGGAATGCCATGAAATACCAAATATTATTTAATAGTGCACATAAATTATTTTTGTTCTGATTAACGTGACTGATGTGACTTGGAAAAGTCACTACTAACCAAAGAGTGAGAAATAATAATTGAAATGAAATCACTATTTATCCCACTTTTCGTCAGGGAATCAAAAATTTCAGTTACACCTACAATACAAGGATAATTTTATGATTCACAAGAAGTCCTAATTTGCCTCCATATAGTTTTTTCTATAGAGCAACGTGAAAGGTAATTTATATGACCTACAGGAAAAATATTGAACGAAGTTAATGCTATGAATGAGGTGACTAACAGGCATTTCAAAATAGAAAACTTGGTCTCTAGAACAGAATGAAGTTATTATAAAACACATTCTATGATAATTTTTTTCTTAATAGAATACATATACGTATAGAGAAAACAAATCAACGCTGTGGTTCTATGGTTGACTATACGCAAAACGTATATCCTTTTTAATCAGTAAAAGGGAGGATTCCAAAATATAATAAATATACAGAATGTTTCATTTAGAAAATAAAATATTGATTTATTTCTTCGAAACGCAACAGTCAATTGCTTTTTTTGTCTCTTTGGAATCATGAGAAAACTTCCTGAAACTATGGTTTTTACCATTTTTTTCTACATAGAAAGGTAAAAAAAGACAAAAGGGTAGAATCTCTCAGCTCTTGCTCATATGATTCCTTAAAAGACTGTAACACCATTTCCGATACACTTATAGGTATGTACAGTTATCGATAACTTAATTTTTCAATGGCGCATTTAAATCAGTCATTCACGATCTAATGTACAATATGAGTTAGAATGTAGAATTCCAATCGTGTTATAAAGCTCATTTACTCTCCTTGAGTCCATTAATGAAACATATAAATAGTACATAGATACCTAATTATTTAAAACTGATATCATGTGTATAAAAACATCATTAAAACACTCCCAGCTCAACAATGTCAATTGAGCAGACATTACATTTAAATCCAATAACGTATACAATTTAGTTTTATCATTAAGAAGACATTTCGAAGTATATTTTATTATTCCTGTACCGTCTTTATTTGTCTTGAAATTAGACTTAAAAAGGAAAATTCATTATTTTGCTCTTGTTTCATCTTCTCTTGTTCAATTTCACTGGACGACATAAATTTTTTCATAAGACTCCACAGAGGAAAGTTTTGATGTCCATTTCTTCCAATTCAGCGTGCTCCAATTAAATATGGGATCAGAGGTTTTGGTTGAATATGTTTTTTAAATTGCATGACTTTTATATTTACTATTTTTTGGGAAAAATAATTTGACTTTCAAATGACCTTTAAGAACATCTAGAAAAATTATTTGATCACAAATTCCGATATAAAAGTTGTTGCTCTATTGGTTTCTAGCATAAGAAACATCATAGTCCATTAAGTCGACCTTAGTTTACGGTAAGAACATTTAAGGTAACAATCTAATTCGTCATTCAAAATCCTATAGATTTTGCTAGAAACAATTTTGTTGAGTTATTCAGAGAAAAACGAGTTTAACTTCAAAGAACCTGCAAGGACTTTGTAGGAAACGTTTTCTGATCTCATTTTCTTACGTAAAATTTGGCGCTCTATCAGTTGCTGGCATAAAAGCTAGAGCGTTCCGTTCAATATTTCAAGGTGACCTTGGTTTGATCTTGAAACTAAAGGCAAAGGACAACCAACGTGTTGGGTTTTTGATATCCTACAACTTTTATCTGAAACTTTCTATCATAGGTCTCAATCCTAAGAAGTTATGAGTGGGTTAAGGTCCTTATGGAACATCTTAACCTATCTCGCCTTCATATCACTGATCAAATAGTCTTTTACAGATGGAGGTGTAAATGACTTTCAGTTAATTATATTATACATAAATTGTATATTTAAGGTTGCCAATCGCGAAAGTATTATCACAAATTGACTAGCATAAACTTTGCATTCGACTAGAGGTATTAAAGATGAATCTTTTCGTAAAATTATGATGATCCAAAGAAGTAATTGTTTTAAGTCTCCTCCACTTATCCTATTTTATTTCCTAATTTCCAATGTTAATGGACAATTATTCAATTTGTAAACAAAAAAGACACCTAGAAGTTATAAAGTACTAAATGTCATGATCTCCATTTCAGGTTACGCCCACTGGAGGACGAGCCATAACGTACGATGAGGAATCCTGGAAGCCCTCTCCAGAAGACAAGCTGAAAGAAAAAGAAGACTTCAATCGCCTGTCCGAAGCTCGCCAGAGCAAAACCAAGCGCGTAAAGAACTATTTCAAAAAATGTAAAAACGCGCTAGGCACTAGATCTGCCAGTCTAGAAGTATCCTCGAGCAGCGACGCCTCAGGAACTTCCTCGTGGTATGTAGAGAATAAATTAAACGAATGCGAAGTAAACGAATTAGAAGAAATTTTCGAAGATGCACAAGATAGTCCAAACCTAGGCGTGACTAGTAGCGCTTATCAAGTAGCAAATATTATAGAGGTCAAAGGTCCTAATGTAGATAATAGTGATAACGAGAAAATAGCAAAGGGTGAAGTTGAGATTAAAGATTTGTGTTGTGGGAAACCACCTGATGAGGAGGAAACTAAGACGGATTCAAGTGTACCAAGGACCACCTCGCCTAGCTTGAAGAAATCGCAAGACGAGGAAGAAGGTGAAGCCGACGGTACTATTGCAGATCTGAAGGAAAAAGGAGACAAATTGGAAATTGAAATACCCATAAAACTGGTAAGTTGGTCGTCACATATACTTATAGTCTTATTTTTCTCCTGTTAACAATGGTTAAGTAGTTAAGCAAAAACATGTTACTCCTCGTATTTTCCTAGCAAAACTTAACCTAGAAATTGGAAATTTGTATGGGAGAATTATCCACGTTTACGTTAGTAAACCCGAACCCTAACCCTTAACCACCCTTCAATAAATTAGGGGTGTGGTCAAACGCTCACTGGTATCAATCAATCTCTCACGTTGACCAAAACCAAAGCTTTGCCATCCTACAGCAACAAGGACATATAGGTTGATTCCTTAAACTATTGGACTATCCGCATATAAATTATACATACACCTAAAAAAATGTAACAGATTGGAAAACATGTCAAATGCAGTAAAGCGGTTTGGGGCAGAGGGTTTAAATTTGGATTATATGCAAGATCCTTTTGCAGGGCTTTGGGCTACCTCTGCCAGTAAAAGAAAAAAAAAACAGAATTGACCTAATACAAAAAGTTCAGAACTTCTTAACAGAAATACGGTATATAATATATAAGAGCTTTTTTTTCTATCTTTATAGGCCTTCTAGATCTGAGCCAATTACGATGGCTACTGTGAATTCTTTCTGGAAGTAATTGATAAATATTAGAGTCTGCTTGAAATTTTAGTATCATAAATAAACATGATTTACCAGTTACAATTAGTCAGCAGTGTCAATAATTGGCTAATTTTTCATCCAACGACTTCCAAATTATTAAAAGTTAATTTACTTTATAAATTGATGAACAAGTGGTGTTAGAGATGAGTTGTTGATTGAGTGGGCCATGATTTAACACATTGACAATAATCATAGATGCATCAGTAAGTATATCTAAAGACCTACTGTACTGTCATTCTAATTGTACACCCAAAGAAATTATATAGGTGTCTTTTGGTTCTAATGGGCTACACTGTGTGTAATATAAGTCTCTAATTCCACACCAATATTTCTTTGCTATTATTTCTTCAACATATTATTTCCTAGAACTTAGAAAACAATATATTTTAGTTTTACGTAATAGAGTTTATGAATTTTTATTAGCTTTCTGACACTGTTGCTAAATTTTATTTTAGGCACACCTTTATATGACACAGTTTTGCACCAGAGAAGAGTCAAATAAAATAGCAAACAAAATGCCGAGTTATCTTTTAATGCTGTTCATAAAAACTATATATCTATTTTACTACAACTTCCGTAATTAATTTGGGCTCTCCGTTAGTAAATGAATGATTTGATGACGTTTTAATGATATATTGACAACATCTAACACAAACATTGTTCCTTTTATGGCATTCTGTTGAAGAAAAACTATCATTCTTATTACTAGCAGTAATATATTTCTGTTACTATTTCGTTACTGGCACATGGAAAAATAAATTATATATTTGCAAACAAATTGTTCAGAAATAGGTAGAAAATGCAAACTGTTCGGTTAAGTCTTTAGACAACAGTTATAATTCTTGAATCATTATTGCACACATCAGAGGATCCATATAATTTTACTATAATAATAATAATAATACAACTAACAAATAAATATGTGTAAGTTAAAATAAAACTTCTCTTCCTTTATTAGCTTAATTCTGGTAACAGTGCTTTGAGTCAAATATAGCAAACATTAAACAACTTTAACTTTTATACTTAACTGGAAGAAAGTAAGTACTGGGAAATGAAGATAAAACTGCTTTCTTTATATTATGTTTCTGTTAAATCATAGCTCTCTAGACTACATAGAGAAACAATGAACATAAAAATTAGTAGCTTACTTACGACAATTTTCTTATAAGGGTGTTATCACTGCTAATTCCATTACATTGCAGTTTTCTAAGATTCTGATATCAATAACAATAAGAGGAAAATTCTGTATTCTTCAATTTTCTCTTAATAAAAGAATGCATTTTTATTTTATACCAATAATCGCCACTACAGAAAGAATATACACAATTTTAATAAAAATGTATGTCGCAGTCTGATGTTGAGAAAAGGAGAACTAATTTGGTTATCTTTAGTGAATAAGTGGACGAAAATGTTATGGAAAATTAAGTTAAAATTTCTTTTCATGATTTTCTTCGGTACCTACATGTTTGCATTGTTGGAAGTTAGGAGACTAGTCTCTACACCACATAAGGAAACGGTCGACATAAAAATTAAAGTACCGTAATCGTTTTGTTTTATCTTAACCACACATTTCTTGTATGGATTAAATTATTGCTAGTCACTATGCTTTGCAGTTATCTAAGATAGGTACCATATTATCAAAGTGACATTCATATTTCTGTTAATTTTCGTTTTTCTTATGAGTGAGGGAATAAATATTGCCCTATTTTACACCAATAGATATTACAGCTTTCGAAATTTATATACAGGGTGTTCTGAAAAATACTAGTATAAATTCAGGGCCTGCCTATAGAATTTTTAAAAAATATTACAATTTGTTCCTAGGAACAAAATAAAAAAAACAACAATTTGGGATACTAGCTGCTTGACTTTGGCGCACTATATCTGTTTTTTTGAAAACGTGCAAATTTTAGCGCTTTTTCCAAGAGCACCTTTTTTGTTTAGAATAAAATTTACCATAACAGCAAGTGACAAGAGGGGCAAAAAGATTAACCTCAAAAATGTTAGGACCTAAAATGTCCCCGCAGACTGCACTGAACGCCCTATAGCCAAAAATTAGTAACTCCAGAACATGTAGCATCCCCAGAAATCCTACATAAAAAAATTTCAGTTCATTCGGTCGAATTTTGTGGAAGATAGGACCGAAACTAGATACTAAAAAATTAAACGCTATGTATCTTGAAAATTGAAAAAGATACGCCCATGGTTCCTATGACCAAACTGTATTTTTTTTTGAAATTCTATCAGGCCCTGAATTTATGCTAGTGTTTTTCGGAACATCCTGTATAAACATTTAATAAAATCTTATTTCATGAAATTCTGAAAGCTCACTACACTGAAAATGAGGAAAATATTATTTTGTGTGTATTTAACTAAAAGAAAATATTGTGGATAAGTGAAATTAAAATTTTTTGATGAACTCTTGCACAAATAGAGAAACAGTGATCATGAGAATTATTGAAAATATTGGATCAGTTTTATGTCCATAAATCACAGTGTTCTTTATTGATTAAATTACTGATAGTCACGTTGCTTGGAATTGCCTAATATACCAAATAAGAATTGACCCGACCAAAATAAAAAATGTGAATTCGTGTTTTCCTTAATTTTCTCTTTCCAGGCGTGTAAGGAAATAAATATTTCACTATTTTATATCAGCAAATACCACCTCATCTGCGAGGATATATAAAATTTTAATAAAAACCGATATCGTGGTCTTCTGAAAGCTCGGTACGCTGAAAACTAGGAAAACGCTAATTTGTGTGTATTTCCTTATTAAATACCCTTATAGGGCAGCAATATAATTAGAGGTAAAGAGTGACAGTCAGGCGCGGGTAACCCGGTAAGCTGAGTTCAAAGGTCGGCCTCGGCGAGCCCGGAAGCCACGCCAGGGTACTGTGGCTCAGCCACAAGTCGAGTCCCCTGCACTTTCACCTCCCAGAGCCATCAACCAGTCATATTTATGTCAGAAGGGCCATAACGATTTCTTGCAGGTTATATCAAGACGCGGAAAACAATGTGCGGTATTTAGACCAGAAATAATCCCGTATTTCAAAAGTTAATCATGAACGTTGTTCTCAAGAGCCTGCGTTTGTTAAGTTGTTGAGTAATATAAAATTCCGATAAATTACACAAGCACAAAAAAAATTCAAGGGACTCCCATATCATTTCGACGGAATTCGTTGCGCTGAATACGAATCTGCAGTCAAAATTCATAACTTCACGATAAATTTCAGAGAAAAGCGAAATTTTTGGGTGAAAACTAGTCAAAACTGATTTTTTTCCTCCTACTCCTGTCCCAAATACATCATTTTCGTAGTATTTTGATGCATAACATAATGCTATGGTAAAATTTACCCTTGTCCTCGATATTTCTCATAAAATCCACTATTTGGATGAAAACTGGCCCAAATATGGGTCAAAATATATTATTTTCGTAGTATTTTGAAGCGATGAATACGATGCTATTAGTAAAATTTATACGTGACTTGGATATTTGGACTTTCTGAGAAACATCGAGGTCATGGTTCAGCGCCTCGAAATAATACGAAAATGATATATTTGGATAAAACCACCCAAAATTTTCTCTTTTCTTCGAAATTCATCAGAAAATTACGACTTTTGATACAGGGTCGTGTTGAGCGCATCGAATTCCTTCGGAAATTATATAGAGTGTAAGTTTGACTGCCATTACTTCAGCATGAGATAGAGTAATCATAAATGAAAAAAAAGTTGTATATTGCAGGGGCGTAATATTAAAAGCACTCGTTGGAAAACACCTCAAGAAGAGGAAATAGTGGTACGCAAAAAACACTCAGACACGGTCCAGTTCCAGATACCAACTGAATTGCGTATTGCTGGACAGCTTAGTACTTCGTGTTATCTGCCGCGCCGTTGTCACATTGCTCGATATGAATTTTATCGAATTCTAAATTTATTACAACGCTAATTATTTTTTAGAATTAAGCATGAAGAAGTTTAAAAATATGATAAACATTGTATTTTATGGTATTCTCTGCACGCAGTTACGTCAATATTTCTTAATTAATCGAACTTTTGTACATACATCAAGATGGAGATTTTGATAATTTTTTCTCGAAAATGGTTGAGCCATGTCATATAAGGTTTTTCTGTTTATTTTAATGTATTCTATCGTCTATTAAAATTAAGGCAGTCAAACTTCTAACACCCAGTATATGGATCTCTTGGGTTTGGATTTATTTTAGTGCCTGTGTTATTTTTGTGAAAAACTTCAACACTGTAGCGTAACTACTATATAGCAGTTCGGAACAAAATCTCAGGATACCTCGGGAAGCTATATCGTGACATTTTAGTTTGGGAAGCTTTAACGACTGTTAGAGAA